AACTGTAGAAGCACTCGTTATGTGTGCCCTAAAAATCTTATTTAAATAAATTACTTTTATGAAGTAGCTCTGTTAAATTATTGGATCTCAGGTACATGGAACAGAACCAATTACGTATCTTGTTGAGATGGCCTTAAGTCGCTTTATTTTCAAAAAGTTCATTTCTTCTATAAAGACTGGGGCGGGGGGAAATATAAACAATGGGATTTGAGACAGTCAGAACACCCTGAGATTGTGGATAATTATCATCTTGTGGAGGTTTTTTCCATGAAGAGTTTACAGTACATCACTTCTTCTTGTTGGACTTTCTTGCTTCAGTCAAGGAAGGATTCTGGTCTTCTACCCATGTTTTTAAAATGCCTAATAGAGAAAGTTTTCCTTCCCAAAGTCTTTCCTCCCCAAATCCAGGGTTGGAGACGTGAACTGCCATCACTGTGTATGCCTGTAACAGGACTGTGTCTTTTATGTTTGCCTCATTTTTTGTGGCTGCTGTTCTGTTTCCATATTGTTGGTCAGCTCCTCCTTCACATATCTGCCTACAATAGGAGTTAACTGTAGTGGTGGTATGTGTGAACATATTCCATATAATAGGCTAAGGGGCAGATCTTTCCAAAATACATATAGTAAATCATTTTGGATTTCTGGATAAAATAAAGTAACTATATTTTTCAAGATGGTATATCATCATTGGGGCTAGTTGTGAAAGCCCATGATTCACTTTCAGGTGAGCTATATTAGAATAGAATAGAGCTGGAAGGGACCTTGGAGGTCTTCTAGTCCAGCCCCCTGCTCAAGCAGGAGGACCTATATCAGTGGTGGCGAACCTATGGCACGCGTGCCAGAGGCGGCACTCAGAGCCCTCTCTGTGGGCATACACGTCGCCACAGCCCCATCTCCCCCCACGCCCCTCCTCACCAGCAGCCCTCCAGAGGAAAGTCGCCCCCAGGCATGGCCCGTGTGGAGCAGTGCAGCCAAGCACATAGTAGCCGGGCAGCAGAGTCAAGACTCTTCCCTCGCGCCCTGTCGCATGCAGATGATGCTGCGGGGCACGGGCAGAGGGAGTGGCCGCCATGGTGCTGCTGGGCTGCCTGGGCGATCTGCGGCGGGCGGTGGGTGGTGAGGATGGGGCATTTTTTGAGCACTCGGTCTCTAAAAGGTTTGCCATCACTGACCTATACCATCTCCGACAAGTGACTGTCTAGCCTCTTCTTAAACATCTCTAGTGATGGAGCGCCCACGATTTCTGGAGGCAAGTTGTTCTACTGGTTAATTGTCCTCACTGTCAGGAAGTTTCTCCTTAATTACAAATTGCTTCTCTCCTTGATTAGTTTCCATCTGTTGTTTCTTGTCCTGCCCTCTGGTGCTTTGGCGTATAAGGTGACCCCCTCTTCCTTGTGGCAGCCCCTCAGATACTGGAATACTGCTATCATGTCTCCCCTATTTTTTCTTTTCTTTAGACTAGCCAAACCCAAGTCCTGCAGTTGTTCTTCATACATTTTAGACTCCAGGCCTTTGATCATCTTAGTTGCTCTTCTCTGAACTTTTTCCAAGGTCTCAACATCTTTTTTGTGATATGGTGACCAAAATTGGCTGCTGTATTTACTAGGGTTTTATAAAGGGGTACTAATACCTCACGTGATCTTGATTCTGTGCCTCTGTTTATACAACCCAGGATTTTATATTTTATAGCTTGATTCATTTTTAGCATTAAATCTAAGTTCGGTGCCAAGTTTGCATGTTGGATCTAAACTTTACTTTACTTTACTTTACTTTACTTTACTTTACTTTACTTTACTTTACTTTTACCTTTACTTTACGTTACTTTACTTTACTTTACTTTACTCTTTACTCTTTACTTTACACTTTACTTTTACCTTACCTTACCTTACCTTACCTTACCTTACCTTACCTTACTTTACTTTACTTTACTTTACTTTACTCATGGCCTCCTGATTTCTAATCTGATGTCTTCACCACTACACCAGGCTGGATCTAAATGTAGAATGCTATTAGCAACAATTCATTCTTTTCAGTTGTATATGTCGTAAATAATATTTGCATTGTTATTGTCCAGAATTACAAAATAGCTCTGGGGATAGTTTGAGAAATTAGGAAAGGGAGAAGTTTGACTGGTTCACTTTCAATTATAATAACTGGTGCAGAAAATGTATCTCTGGGCTCCACTCTGGGCCTTCCCACATTCGACTGAAGAAAGAGGAGATGCCGCAGATACAAATACGTAACCTATGTGCACTTTACATTATAAAATACTGGTTCCATTTTGCAGGTGAGGAGTATTGACATTCAATGATAAAGTGGGATCAGATAGCATTTACAGAAATAGTAGTGCTGCTAAGTATGTACATAATTATTTTTTCTCACTACTCTGCAGCTAAATTTCCTTTTTTGAAATAATTGAAACAGCAGAGTATACAAGGGGTGCCCCTCTCATAAATTAAAATTGTAGCACCTATAGTGCTTGTCTTTCACAAGGCAAGATAACTACAAAGTTTTCTTTCTTCCATACGAGAGTGTAATCTCCCTTCTTCACAAAATCAAATCTTTTTTTAACTGCACAATTTCTTCTAATAAAATAGAAACTCACCTTGTGTGCCCTCCCTGGCTTAAAGTGTACCTGGATGCATGATTTGGAATCAAGCAGGGGTGATTTAATTCCTCATTTACAGAAGTTATAGTTATTTGGGTTCCTTGCTCCCATTGGTTGGAAGCTCTTTATGCCAGATGATGAAAAAGGTAGAAGTCCAATAATGTGGAACACTTCATAGTCCCGCTGATTTCAGCAGGAGGTTATTTATGTATCTGACTGATTTATTCTTTTATCATCAGCTGAATTGATTCCTAGATGCTTAACCTTGAATCTGTTTACACCCATTGGAGCCTCATGCTAAAATCATGAATTCTAAGTTGTTTGTAGTGTTTCTGAAATACATTTAATGATGAAAAATGCAGCCAGAAAGCAAAATTGAAAATAAAATCTGTCCAAGATACACTTAGTTTATTATCATTTCTATGGTTGTATTGGTTTCTTAGTTCACAAAGCTATTTGCAATATTGAAACAGAAGTCCAAAATAAACTTGACAAGTGTTTTCATCATGATTGTGTACTTTATTTCTGGAACTACAGAATTGAAAGTGTTACCTTATAGTTCTGTGAGATCACAGTTTAATATATTGTGATAAATGCAGATTCCAGAATCCATAAAGTGTAGTTCTATAGCAGTGATGGCGAACCTTTTAGAGACCGAGTACCCAAACTGCAACACAAAACCTACTTATTTATCGCAAAGTGCCAGGGCTGCATCAGCATTGTGGTGCCCTCGGGGGGGATTGTGGCCCACTGGGTGGGCATGGCTGCAGTGGTCACGGCAGACTGGGTGAGCGTGGCCGGGGCCAGTCCCTCGCCATCTCCGGGGCATCCCTGGGGGACCAACACCGCTTGCTCACTCACTTCCTGCCCTGTCACTTCCAAATGCCACATGCTCGCTACTCTAGCAAACTCTGCTGGGGCAACGGCGCGCGTGCCCACAGAGAGAGCTCTGAGTGCCGCCTCTGGCACGCGTGCCATAGGTTCGCCACCACTGTTCTATAGTCTAAAAATGCAAAATGCTTAATTTTAAATGTGAATTAACATTATTTTCTACATTTAGAATAATTTGGTGCTGTTTTGTTTGGTTCTGTAGATAACCCTTTATAATAATAAATAGCTTAAGGAGAAATTACATTGCAGAAACAGAACTGACAATTTGAACTGAGATTCTTAAACATTTAATATAGTTCTCATATTTTTCAATGTTTTTCCCATGATAATGAGAACTAGAACCTTTTTCTCTTCTTTTGCTTTGTGTTATTTAAAATAAAATTAAACAGAGACTTATTCCATGAGTGCAAGTTGGATGTGGAGACTATAATAGAACACACAGATGTAGGTATCTGAAGAATCAGCATATTGTCATGCAAACATTTTCTTTCCTTTAGAATTAAAGCATGGGAGGTCACCATTTTATCTATTCTATCCCATGTGGTTTCTGGAGGTATGCTGAGTTAGCAGTCTTGGAAAGCCAAGATCCGCTCTTAACCATTTTGTGGGGACTGTGTGATGATATCATACATGTGGGAGGAGAGGGGTATTGGGGAAGTTAAGCAGTTTTTCACTGGTTGTTTGATATATTTATTTTAGGGCTTGCGCTATTGTTGTAATAAGTTTTACACTAAAAAAAGGCAGACATTTGCACTGCTTGTTTAAAAAAAAGCATGATCAAGGTGAGTTCTGATGGCTGCAAAACTGTGATTTGGCAAATTCATATCAATTTGACATCACCTCCAGCGTTATGATTGCCAATGCTGTGGCCTATTGCTGTAATATAGTAATTGAAGACTTGGTATTTATAGCAATAGCAATGAGACTTATATACCACTTCACAGTGCTTTACAGCCCTCTCTAAACGGTTTACAGAGTCAGCATATTGCCCCCAACAATCTGGGTCCTCATTTTACCGACCTCGGAAGGATGGAAGGCTGAGTCAACCTTCAGTCAGTGAGACTCAAACTGCTGGCAGTTGGCAGACTTAGCCTGCAATACTGCATTCTAACCACTGCACCAGCCCTATTTAACTATGGAAGCCTCATGAGCAACAAACCTGTGAAAATATAGAGTGGTCTTAACCTACCAGTTCATCTTGTCCAACTGTTGGATGCATTTGGATTCATGTCTATTGCAGGCAGCCTATGTGCATAATTTATGCTGTGGAGTAGAAACCAGAGTGCGATATCCAGGAGGAGGCCACTGAGTGGCTGCTTCCTGTTAAAAATGTGCTCAGACCTCAAAGAGTCGGTTCATAATCATTTGAAAAATAATGGCCATGATTGGCCTGAAAGTTCCCCTCTTCTGTTGATACAATTAAAGGGTGCAAGTAACTTTAACTACCAAGCATTTAATTCAGAGCAATTAAGAGATTATTGTTATGTCTTTATTGTTATAGGTGGTGGCTTTAGGAGAAGTCCCAGATGGGACAGTGGTCACAGTCATGGCTGGAAACGATGAAAATTATTCTGCAGAGCTGAGGAATGCCTCAGCTGTAATGAAGAATCAAGTGGCACGGTTTAATGACCTGAGATTTGTTGGCAGAAGTGGAAGAGGTAAATAATTTCATTATAGATTTGTTAAACCAACAGCTGAAAGAACAGTCAAGATCTAAAATGGAATCCATTAACTATTATTCTGCTATTGTTAAACTTTCATTTATAGGTTAAATGTAGGCTGCAGCATTCTTTAGGCTTGGTCACCTGCTACAGGATTGTTTTCCTATGGATGGATGGATGGATATGTACTATGTATACAGTATGTGTGTGTCTCTCTGTGTGTATTATATATGAAAGAAACAAAGGAAGGGAAAAAGAGAAAAAGAGAAAAAGAAAGAAAGAAATCTGGATTCTGAGGGGGGATTGCTTTTTGATGTCAGCAAATGGAGTAAAGTAAGGAAGCATGATGGTGTTTCCCTTTTGGTGCAGAGTTCACTTTGCAATTTTTCGCATATGGAAATGATGAGGAAAGAAAAAGAATCTATTAAATGTGTTGGCAGATCCAAAGAACAGTTAGGTAGTCTTAGTGGATTCAGTGAATTCTTTTCAAGTAAACATGCATAGGATTACAGTCTTAATGATAAAAATATTTCCTGGTTCTAGTAGAAAAATTATCATATATTTCCTAATTTTAGTATTGAGTGCTGGTTTGTTTATAAACACTCTCCTTTGGTTTTGATGTAATTGACTTTCTGTGAATCCATTCAAACTACTTTCTAAATAAGTTCTGAGCAGAGAAGTGATCCTGCTTTTCTCTATCAACTTTTTTATTCAATTTGATGAAAGAGAATTTAATTCAGACAGTTTTCAAGGGAGGTTAGGAAGTTGAATGTTCTCAAGGAAGTGGTGTGATGCTTTTGCATTTATTTAATTAGGAGGAGGCCAAGGGATGCATATCTGTGATTGTGTGAATATACTCTTCTTCCTAAGCAGTTTGCAGCTTCCATGGCTTCTCAGTCTTCAATTACATTTTAAGGGAAAATTTCACAAGGTATCACAAGCCTTCTATGGGTCTTTCTCTGAAAAGGTTGTCTCTGAAAACCACTAAGGGGATGTTAATTGGACCCATGTATAAAGGTTTTATGTCTGGACTTGACCAGCTATATAAATGGGTTAAATAAATACACAAAATTCTTCTCCATGTCATGTTCTCAGTTACTGTAGCTGGAAATCCAGAGGGAAGCATAGAAGGAGGCAGAAACAAGATTGAAGATACTGGTGGATAGGCAGAGAAAAAAAATATGTTTGCAGCTATCACATAGGTGAGAATAGGGGAAAATGTAGAGTGCCTACCTTATTTTTGTACTGAATATATAAAACGAATTTATATAGCTGTCCATTTCAGTGACTACATCACAGATTTAAGGAGTTAGTCATTGCTCTTACAGAAGGCTACCATCAACCCCAATATTGCTTTTATACCAATAAGACTAATAATCATTTCTATTTGGAATTCTGCTAGTTGCATGAGAAATGAAGGTAATAGTTAAGTGGATAACTCAAAATAAGCAAACAAAATCTCTAAAGGCAGCAATATTTGCTCACCACATTGCATTAGTTGTAAATAAAATTTTGGCTCAAGTTAAAATTTACTCCACAACACTTCCTGAAGCAAGAATAGTGCATAGCTCAAAGTAAGGAAAACCTTGCTAGATTTGGCATTTGACTTATTCCTCTGGAAAGAGAGGGTAAGGGCTGGCTACGCATTTAAGTAAAATAGACAAGTTTGAGAGCACCATTCAAAAAGATAGCATGGCCTAGTAGCTTTGTGCTTATGAGGAAGACTGCTTCAGCATACTGTTTGCACTTGAACTCAGAGCACTCTGGGTCCAGTCTTTGTGTTCTGGCCTGCATTAAAAGACATAGCCACAGACTCCAAACTTCCTCAGCTGAGTCAAAGCAAAGCAAAACAAAAACAGTTACATGAAAAGAGAAACCTCAGAACTTTCTGGATGTGTAATTAACACAAATGCAAATCTGGGAACAAAGGCATGATTGTCCACAATCAGAATTTCAACCTGTATCTTAATTCTTTCACTCAGATTGCAGGGCATTGCTGTTCTAACCCCTAGCTGAAAATGTGGTCAGTACTTTATGCTTCCAGGCTGATTTCAATTCTGAATGATAAAATACAACTTCAAAGATAATACAACTTAATAAAAAAAGATCACTGTCTTTCTGGATAAGAAGGAAAGGCCTTATACTTTTTATAAGTTTTTCTTCCCCTTTAATAACATTTTGATATTTTGATTTGTCTTTATGTTGATTGATTATACTTGAAAGATCTCTGGCTTGTAAAACGTGATGGTTTGCAAAAAATGTATAGTGGTTCCATCATATAATTATTGCTGAAAACAAACATAAATATGATGGAACATGTGTGTTTCAAAATTCAGTGGAGGAAAAGGTTTGCCTATCTCTCTCCCTCCCTCCCTCGTTATCTTCTTTAACTGTCACAAAGAAAATGAAATGAGTAATTAGAGAATCACCGTGATTATTCCCCACAGTTACATACCATCAGTGAGAAGTTTACTCAGATCAATATGAGCAAAATCTAGAAAAAGTGATGGTGTACTTTACAAACTGTTTAACGTATTTATTCAAAGAACTTAAAAAAAAACCAAAAAAACAAAGGGTGTATGCAGTTTTTTCTATATTAGCTTTCCACGTTTTGGCTACTTTCCCAAATAGCAATTTTTATATTAAAAAAAGAAAGAAAAATGAATGAATGAATGAATGAATGGGAGAGAGAGAGAGAGAGAAAGAGAGAAAGAAAGAAAGAAAGAAAGAAAGAAAGAAAGAAAGAAATGGGGAGGGAGGGAGGGAGGGAGAGGTGGGGGGAGACAGACTTAACTGCTTGCAGACTTTTCACGCATGGAAGATGAAGAAAGCTTCTTTTGATGAAGTGTAATTATGTCCAAACAGAGCTGACCCCCTCCTCCTCTATTTCTTATGATCTTAACAGAAGAAAGTAGGGTATTTCCTTTGAAGCAGCTGGGATTTGGGAGAGGATCCGAAATGCTAGCTGCATTTTGCTGCCAGAGGCAGGATGGAGAAATTGGTCCAGACTTGTCTCTCAGACACAGAGCAGAGAAAAAGAAAGAAAAGAGTTATCATTTGTGAAGGATTTTTATGATACTGCTTAAAATAGCAGGAAAGGAAACAGTAGTAGCAAACAGGAGCTCATATGATCTACACACAGCAAGAATGTTCTTGGCTAAGTCAACACCATATCTGGTCTGTGGTAGCCTTGTAGCCAAGGTCCAGGTAACACTTTTGAAACATACATGCAGATAAAAATCAGACAAGGTCAAACATGAGAATTTACGCCGACTGAAGAACTTTGTTCTGGCAATCACAGATCAGATTGCTTTGAAAAACCATCTCCTGTTTTTAAGGACAGGCCCATTGGTAAGACTCCAAAGGACTCTGCTGCTCTCACTTGACTCAAAGAGAAAGGCAAAGAGGGCTTTAAGAGGAGCCAACTTCTAAGAAGGGACCACTGCAGGTCAAACAAACTTTGAAAATAGAAAGCATGTTAGTGTTTTTCTTTCCTGTTTGGTGGAAATCGAATGTCCACACACTCTTATGTGTTTCTAATTTTACTTCTTTCTTTTACATTGAAGTCACAGTCTAAATTATCAGTCGGCTTGCTGAGCTGTTTCTGGTCTCCCATATGTTCCTTGTTTATCATGACTTCATCATTTCTCTAACCTCACATGAAATCCTCTTCTGCATTTTTATCTAATCTAACTGTGCAAATACTTAGAAAGGCCTGCTCAGCTGTTTACCTACTGCCCTGTGCCATCACTAACTTCTTTAATCACTTTATCCGCTTTCAGTTGCCTGATCTAGTCTTTTGAAGCATATTAATAGTTGCAGAAGGAGAGAGGAAATAGGAAGGCAGCCAGAGAAGCTGGCAAATTCCATAAGGCATTTCTAGTCATGTGTTATTTCCTGTCCTCAAAGGAATACATTTCCCCCATAGTTATTTATCAATACACAGATATGCACCTCACTCTTTATTCCAGTTATCTACTTCTTATATTGGCTTTTTCATATTACTTTTAATTCTGCTGTAATCCAATATTATTTACTATTTATACTTCAACTCAGAGAGAGCATATTTATAGGGAGTCCTCGATGTACAACCATTCACTTAGTGACTGTTTGAAGTTACAACAGCACTGAAAAAGGTGATTTGTGACCGTTTTTCACACTTACGACGGTTGCAGAATCCCCATGGTCACGTGATCAAAATTCATATATATGATGGCTGCAGTGTCCCGGGGGTCATGTGATCACCTTTTGCAATCTTTTGACAAGCAAAGTCAATGGGGAAGCCAGATTCACTTAAAAACCATGTTACTAACTTAACAACTGCAGTAATTCACTTAACAACTGTGTCAAGAAAGGTTGTAAAATGGTACAAATCTCACTTAACAAGTGTCTTGCTTAACAACAGAAATTTGGGGCTCAGTTGTGATCATATGTTGAAGACTACCTGTGCTTGGCAAATCTAATCTAATTTCACTATAATCAGTTACTTTCTCTAGATAATTATATGCTCTTAAACAGAGGCTCCATCCCCATTGACAGAAATTCATTGGGTAACTTTCCAAGTACTCCTTTAAGAAAATTATGAGAGTTAAATTAGCCTGGTTAAAGTTTTGGCTGGGATAGCTAGGTATAATTACTTAACTGCCCAAGAGACCAACTTGTCTCTTTCGCACACTAGGGTAATGTTTTGGCCAGTGGGCACATCAAGAATTCTAAGAATGTGTCTTGACTGTCCTAATTAAGTAGCTGCAATGGAAGGCTCCTCCAGCCCACGAGCCATGGTATGGCCAACCACAAAACATCCATTTCCAAGCAAGTAACTGTTGTGGCCAAAAGAAAAGTAATTTTCACAAGAATCATGTAGAAACAGAATTTGGGTAGATTTTTAAAAACATAGAACACAGATAAAACATTCATTCACACAACAATTCAAAAAATTAGAAGTAAATATTGATCTGTACACACAGAGGGACACATACAAAAATACTAAAGTTTTCAACATCCCTTCTAACTGCCCCTGAGCAGAATGTTCTCTACATCTTTCTACATGCTTTTGTTTGTTGTGAAACGGAGCATTATTCAAAATGTTCTGAGTGACAGTATTTTGATTCTTAAACATTACAGCCATTCTCCATATTTATTTTCCATTAAGACCCCACCAAAGAATGAAAATAAAGATGGCACTCAAGGCTGGTGTTTTGCTTTGCAATAAGTGACCTTTCCAATTAATAATCGACAGGCATCAGGAAAGACATCCATAGGCTCATTAAAATTAGAATATATATTAGTGCAGCAAAGGAGACATAGTTGCAATGACATTTGTTATTTTGAAGTTGTGGGATACATGCATGCAAAAGTTTAAGATCAGAGTACTCACACCTTAGTCATTGCTCTGTATGGAAAGTGATATATGTGCTAAGGCAGTTTCTATCTTATCTAATGTCAGTTAAATATGTCAGTGACAAAGGGTGAATAATATGGATATTTTCTAAAGCAGCACTACATCCTAACTAGCGGGGTTCATATTAAATCCCTAAAAGGAATCATTTGCTTTCAGAAGTAATGTTTAATGATTCAGAAGAAAATGGAAAAGTCTGGTGGTAAAAGAATATTGTCATGATCCACAATTTTTAAAATTCTAGTGATTTAAGGATTAATGCTCACAAAATGGTGCTGTGCTTCTCTCTGACTGGTTCATGCTTTTTATTTTGTAAGTTTTATATATCCCTAAGAATCTTAAGTTACGAGAAACTCATTCTGCAAAGCTGGAGAAAGGTTGGCCCCTCTTTTTGCTTCCGTTTTGGTTTTTAATTTTTCTTCCCATACGCAAGGCATGGGAGGGAAAACAGGGCAGGCAGATTAGATGATTGGTCTAAAATCCCTGTGGAATGATGGGTGGAGGGACTTAGGGAACTGCACCCATTGCAAGACTTGGTTGACTTAAGATTTTTCCAGCTTCAGCAAGTACGACTCCTAGTAGCTGGTATGAACAAGGTCTCTATAGTCAGATTACCCCTGGTTAGAGATCTGTGCTTGACCCTGTCCCAAGGGCTGTAGAATTGTGCTTCTAGTTTTCTTGAAGTACTTTATTTTGACGTGGTAGAATATAATAAAAGCACACCAAGTATCTTCCTCCTAGCTAGCTTAATTAAACAGATTTTCTTGTAGATCCCCACAGAACCTGAAATCTGAACACAGGTTCTTTGACTTTATATTGACCTGTTCAGATATATTCTCAAGAAGCATCTGCATTATTTTAGTGCCTTATACTATGGGAGTTATTTATTTCTAGAATTGATTAGTTACATTCTGTACTCCGAAAATATTTTAAGCGATGCCCAAAGGTACTATTATAAAGAATAAGGTACACTAAAATTAATACAGTCTAAAAAAAGGAAAACATTCAAATTAATGTCAGTGATCAGGAATAGAATTTGCCATGTCAAAGGAAAGTCAGTTAAATAACAGTTTTCTGCCTTTTTCAAACAAGGATAGTGAGAGCTGACTTCTTTCCCAGAGCATCTATTTCTGTCTGCTGTCATATTATGTATTTTTAAAGATCACAATAACCCTCCCTGCCTCTGAGTAGATTTTATGGCATAAACTGTGCTGTGGTAGTCAGATGGATTGCCCAAGCATGTCAGCTTGCACTGAGAACAAGCAGGCCTTCTCTTTGTGTGTGACTGTTACATTGGAAGTTTACTATTACATTCTCTCTTTTTGGAGTAACGTTTCTCCAAATGTTCTGAAACCACATGAGTGATAATAAATGATGTGACAGGAAGGTTTGAGAACTGAATGAGACAGCAACAGACCTGTTCTGTATTACACATGCGTGTGCCTCTGCACACCCACACATACCCACTCAGTCACACTTCCTGTTTTGTATTAGACTTTGAAATAATGTATTACATTTAGTGCTGCTACATTTTCTTAACATTTTGTGCTTTTATTAATACCCTTGGAGTTCCATGAAATGGGATGGAGTAGGTAGAAACCCAAAGTCCCTAGATGGCTGGGTTTTTTTTTAAGATCTTTTAAAGATTCTGGTAAAGCAGGAGGCAAAGTGAGCCATAAGCCATGAGATAGCTGACTGTTGCATTGAGTCACTGTTGCACGCCCACCTCTTCCTGTCTTGAAACAGTTTGCAGTTTTGACTATCTGAAATGATTAACAGTTGCATATCTCACTGATTAGAACTGTCAGTGACTTGCAGAACAAAGGCCACAGACTTCCCTGGGTGAAGATTCTGTCTGTTCTTTGTAGCTGTTTTCATTTCCTAACACTTGCAGAGTTGCAGGGCACCACATCCATCTGCAGAATTTCTATTATGGTAATTGGGATTTTCAGAGGAACATACATTTTATGCATTTAAAGCACATTCTCACCCTGGGCAGATAGTTTGTTTAAGGTTTAATAGCTGGAATATTGTCCAGGAAAAGGGGGACTATCTCTCATTTTCTTCGTGGATTATATCATTAGCTTCCTATTACCATAGGCATATTGAACATAGGAAGCCCTGGCACTCTATTATGGCTCCCAGAAGTAATATATATTAGTTCTCTGTATTATGATAAAGTCAAGTTAAATGATAAAACCATGTGAAGTCAAATATAAAAACAGCACATTCCTTTCAGTTAAACAGCGGGAGAAAGTGAAATTCTCCTCAACTGAGCAAATCTCCCTTGCAGTAAGTGCTGGAGTAGAATTTGGCTTTCTGCGGAGGGCAAATTATATCAGTCCAATCCATATGTCATGTCCTAACTAATAATAATATGACTTGATCCCTATTGCCACAGGCATGCTGCAGATGTTCATGGCCACTGCAATTCACATTCTGTCGGTAGGAAGAGAACTCTTTAGCTATATTCATGAGATCCAAATCCAGGCATTGCTTGCTCTTCTCAAAGCTGAGCCCCTGATGCAATGGAAAGCTGCTGTGCTGCAGCATAGCATCCTGTGTACCCACACAGTCACATCTCCATATTTGCTTTGAATCCTAAAGATGTAAGAATGCCTTTGGTGTTTGAATCGGACCTTCTCTTCAGGAAACAGTTTGATCTTATGGCTTTTTTGCAAGCCAATTTCTTTCAGGTAGCAGCAACCCCAGGTCTTACTTCTTTCCTCATTATCACTCTTCTTCACTTTGAGTATCTGCTATATGACTTTGTTCCTCTAAGAGCGTGCAGATAAGCGTGAATGGCCTCATATGTATTCACTTAGTCCATCGATGTATAGTTAAAAAAACAAATTATTTTCATGTGAAATTTGTCCCTAATGTACAATATATACGTAGTTCTGTACATCTTACTTGTAATCTTTCCTAATGTTTCCTGGACTGTTAGATTTTTTTTTTGTATGCAACATATCCAAATAGGTATTATTTTGGATTGAATTTTGGAGTTGAAAATGATGAATACTAATTAGGTATCATAATTTATTACAGGATGTTTCTCTTTAAAACCTGTCCTTTTTAGTTCTTTTACATTTTTAAGATATTAATATTCTCTCTAATTTTTTTCTGACTGAAACAAAATTGAACTGAATTCAGTTAATTCCATAGTTACTTTTTAAAGTTAAGACTGTAGCTGAAGTAGTTCTTTTAACATCAAGGAAGCTTCCCATATCCACCCTTCTTTTCTTGACGCAGAGCTCTGGAGAACTGAACAGTTATTCATTATTTTAGTGGCCTTAGAAAGACACTGGTTTGCTGTGGATTTTGCTCTTCCATAGCTTTAGTTATAAGGATTAATTACAGGGCCCTTAGCAGTTGTAGTTATTTTGTATGTGAATTTATTTATGATTTGTATGTGGCAATACTATCCCAGCTTTTCTCTAAAGGTCAAGGAAACATACATATTGCGTTCTTCTACACGAAGACCAATCTAGCTATCTAATGCATTTCCTTCTGTGTTCCTTGCTTATCTTTCTTTGAGGCCCTGTGATGTGAGCCACAGTGCTGTAGAAATACATGCGCTCAGCCTATTGTGAGAATTTTACTCTTAGTTGACTTATTCAGCAGTTCCTACTTCTACAGGTAGAGCTGTGTTCCATCCTACTCTTTTTTACCTGCCACAGTGGACAGGGTCTGTGAAAAGACTGTTCACACCTTAGCTGACTTCTTCCATTTAGTTTCTGTGGCTAACTCACCTTTGATGCTAGCTATACATTGCAGCACTAAAAATTATTACTTACAAGCAGTTTGCTCTTCAAGCAGAAATGTCCGTTTCTTGAAGAAGATATTGCTTCTAATTATTGCCACTACCTTATGATCTGATATAAAAATTCAGATTTTTAAATTTGTGGTACTTGACTGAATTTCACAATAAGTGGGAGAAGCAGATACATATTTTGTTGCTCCATTCCAATTTAACATTTTATGAATGTTTTATATTTTTTAGATTTCATGCAAACATTTCTATAGTGATTTCTATTTTTTCTCCTTTTTTTTAAACAGGAAAAAGTTTTACTCTGACAATAACTGTCCTTACAAATCCTCCACAAGTTGCTACATATCACAGAGCTATAAAAGTGACAGTAGATGGACCAAGGGAACCACGGAGTAAGTACTATGTTCTCTATTTGTGATCTAGGATACAGTATAGATAATCTCTAGAAATAAATAGCTATAGCTTATTTTCAGTATCTAGATAGATTCTTCACCTCGCACATCCAGCCTTGTTTCTCAAGTCTTGAGCCTTGAGGCAGATTGCTGTAGTATGCAAGTTTAGAATGTAAGTAAGCAATCCAGGAATGAAATTTTTCATTTTTGATTATTTATTTATTTAGCCTGAAGTTGTGGGTTATCTTGCCTTATAATCTTCTAAAATCAAAATTATATGGATGACTTTTCTCACAGTTTGATACTTGAATAAAGTGTTACTCGTGGAGTTCAGACTAGCCTTTTCTCTACTAGATCACCTTTCTAGGAGATTTCTCCACTTGGAATATAATTTGTCAAAATCATCTGGGCCTTTTATCACAACATAATTAATAATTATTACAAATCATTTTTTCTTGGCAATTTTTGTAAATCACCCTAAACAATCTAGAAGTGTAAACCTGATCTCCAGTTTTCTATTGAATTCAGTAAGATATGGAAATTGCATTTTGTATCTCATATCTGAAAGTTCAGGTTAAATGTTCATAATATTGTATTCACATTGTCTCAAACTGCTAAGTGGGCTTTTGTTCCAGAATAACATCCAAATGTTAATATGTCTTTGGCTATTTGTATAGTTGAAAGTGCCAGTTTTCAAGATCTGAGTGAACCTGGTCAAGATTTTATAAAGATGTAATATTCAGGCATATGGGGGAGAAAAAGAACATCCAGATTTGTTAGTTAAGAATTTTTGCCCTCTTTTTAAAGCATATTTTCAATGTAGTTGTCTGCTGATCTTACCACCCTGAAAAATGAGATTTTTCTCAGCACTGAATTTGTGTTCGCCACCAAAATATATACAAAGTACCTAGTACAACAATGTATTACTAAAATACTGAGAACATAATATATAGTTTATATTTTCTCCATATATAGGATATTTGTGTTTAAATTTGATTTATACTTTATAAAAAAATATTAGGCTCAATATCTCTTCCTTCTCCCATCCCTCCACTGATTATGTGCCAGCTTTGGTACTTCTTTCCTATTTGTCCTAATCCAGAGATTTAATTTCTGAACCAGAGACTTAACAAACTCATCAATTTTGAATATTTCTATCCAAATTTAGAGCTATAGCCATACCAAAAGGAAGTTACAAAAGATTCCCACAATAAAATCTCATTTGTGTGTAGTATCTAAATAAAAAATGATATGGTTTCGTTATAGTGCCATGATCAATCAAAACACATTCTTGCCCTAACTCCTGAACTTTCCATGGTCACTTCTGGAAAGCCAGTGAGCCCTCTGGGGTATGGTAATTGTTACTTATTTCCATTGTATATATCCCACCCCAATCCTGTCAGATTTTGAGCAGGCAACAATAAGATTAAATATTTAATATAAAAATGTATAAATAAGAAAAGACACCTAAGAATAACTAAAGGCCAAAAACATGTTCAAACAAAGTAGCTTTATCAGGTTTGTTAAAGATAAGAAGGATTGGGACCAATTGTAAATATCCGTCTGTAACTGATGATGAACAATTGATTGAAATTGAAATAACCCACTACTGTACTTTTGGACCAGTCAATTGGACCAATTGTGTTTCTGGATAGGGACTATCTTTGTGAAAACCTGTTTCCTGTCCCCACTCCATGAAACCTATGCAAAGAGGGAAAACTATGGAGCTGATCATCATTCAGCCCTAGTTTTTCTTTTCTTGCAGGCAGTTAAAGGGTTGAAAACATAGATTATTTTTTTAACTGATTTTTACATTGCTTTCAGAGTACAACCCTCACTATCTACTATAACATAAATAATGAAAATGAGAAAGTATGAATAAAAAAAACAAGACAAGAGTGGCAGAAAAGCTATTAAAGCAATACAAGCAAAGAGATAGGGATAGACAGTAAAATCTCAGTCTAGCATATCTCAAACTTAGTGGATACATAAAACAAATTAATCAAATCTGAAAATAATAGGAGCATCAGCTTTCAGAATATTTACTATTTTAAGGAGACTAGAGATTGGAAGAAATATAAATTTGTTTGTATCTGCAAGTTGGTGATATGTTAACATAAATCTCCCAATGAGACCCCCTAGTGCAGTGATGGTGAACTTATGGCACGGGTGCCAGAGGCGGCACTCAGAGCCCTCTCTGTGGGCACGCGCGCTGTCGCCCCAGTCCTAGGCCTTCAGCTGGGTTTTATAAAACCTTTTTGCTTTAGGCCTCCGCCAGTCAATTTCAACTTCTCGCAGGGAAAAAAAATCTTGCAAAGTTGGAATTGATTGATTGAACTTTTTAGTCCCACCACCGCAGCCACAGCCACCCAATGGGCCACACCTACCCAATGGGCCACACCCACCCGGCACCCGACGATGCATAAGTGGGTTTGGGGTTGCAGTTTGGGCACTCGGTCTCTAAAAGGTTCGCCATCACTGCCCTAGTGATTTCATTAATTACATTAATACATTATGTGAATACATTAATAACACGGGAGGCAAAATGAATTTTCCATGCCCAGCAACCATGGGATAAATTTCAGAAGCACCATCTTCTCCCCTCCAGCTAAACAACTAGGATTGTTAATGCTTTAGAACCTGGAGGCTCTACAGATGACCATGGTTGCTGTTGCACTGAAAGTCACTAGGGAATTTATGAAAGCCATCAAGGCAGGCTTACATAGCCAAGCTGAAATGGATCTACACGATTAGCCTGCTTGAAGATTAGCCACTTGACCAACTCTGTGGAGTTCAAAATCCATCGAATCTAAATTAAATCTTTTGTCAGAAATGATTTCACTATTTCTATTATTAACACAGAGGGGATGATCTCATTCCTTATTGCAGAATTCAATACCCCTTTTCACTCCACTCCACTCCACAATGCTCAAGGAAGTAAGGAGACAGGGATCTGACCTGAGCCCTCAGAGTTCAGCCAGTTCCTTAAAGTACAGAAATTGAAAGTATATTGGCCAACCAATGGTTAAAATAAACCCATAGAGTTGCTCAGTCACAGTCCTCTTCTGGCAAGGTTTTTGAACCCAATATTTTGACCTATTGCACATACCTAAATTGCACTTTCAGTAAAGAAGGCAACAGACCACAAGCTATTAACCTAGAATGAGAATGGATGAACTGGGGAAGTTGTGTATACTAATTCTTTCCAAGTCCAAAGTTCTGGAAAGACCTATAAGTTCCACATAAGATCAAAAACAGCTATTATTAAGATCAAATGATTTTTTTTAATGTTCAACCAGCAAAATAATATAAAGGGGAAAAGGCTTGACTAAATTGTTATGGTATTTACAACAGCTAGATCTCCTGTGTGACTCAATATTGTAGCTAGCAGCCTGTTTTGTAGGGTGGAAACTGACTAGCTGGAAGAGATTAGGACACAGAGAGTGGTTGTTCCTGTCTTTCCTTTGGATGGAGTTCCAGGAAAAACAGTAGAATATGAGACCTTAAAAGTGACTTGCTCGCAAGTTGGGTGGATGCTAATCTTAACAATGCTTTACTGTCCTTGGAAGCTTCTTATAGCTGCTGGTAGTTAGTGCACTACTTCTTTCCTTTTTGGATTGCTTATTGTGCTGTATGGTCGAGCAGGTAGTATGTGTCTACTTCTGTTGTATATCATGTGCACATTCCTTCAGGAGTAACAATGTACTTTCAAGAAAGACAATGAGCTTTGCTTTGACAGTGGTTTGGTCATGTTCCAGTCATTGTTGTACACTGTGCTTTTTGATGTGCACAGTCAGACCTGGTTAATCCATCCTGGTTTATCTGTCTGCCTTTGTCTCTTGGAAAAATTCAATTAATATTCAGTGCCATTTATAAGGCAAATATCTTGATAAGACAATCTTAAATCCTTCTTTTTTGTGTTAATTAAAAACTGAAGTTGTTTGATGAAGCATGCTTGTATTTAAGTTAGAGATTAACTATTATTTGAAGAATAACCACATTAATAAAAATTTGAATTCTTCTAAAAGGATCATTTCAGTCATTTGCTTGCCTTTGATGAATAAATGATGGTAAGATCAGTTTTATTTTCCGAAATATTGCAGAAGAGCAATCCAGTTGCTACTTCTCCTTATTGTTATCCTTTTTTTCTGATTAACAATGAAGAACTATTGGAAACTCTTATTTTCTCAGTAAATATAAAGTTTGCTTGCCCATGTAAAGTCTGTTGTCATTATATAGCGCAAGGCTTTCCTGTTTACTTCATTAATCTCTACTAAATTTACTGCTATTGAAAAAGGGTCTTCTCTCACATGTAACTGCTAGCATTTTATTGACTTTGAAAGAATGTTGTCCCTTGTGGAACACTAACAATTTTTGACATCTGGAATTAATTTATTTGTTCCCATTTGGAAATCTGCATGGTTATTCTGATGTACCTTTGAAACAGGAAATTTCTAAACAGGCAAGGCAATTTCAGAATGTGTAGAAAAGTTAATATGGCCATCAGAGCAACATGTGGTAGTCCAACATGGAAGAAATATTTCAATAAAAAGACTTCCATGTGTAAAATATTGCTAGGAATGTTATGTACCAAGTAGTACATCTTTCCATATGAAGAAAAAAATTACAGTGACACTGGAACTCCTGGCATAAAGCATCTTTTCACCTACAAAAGGCTACATTTTGATCTATAGAATTTATTTCTTGAAAGATATGCTTTGGGCACTGAACCAAGTTTCCTAAGTTTCGCAATTGTAAAGAACTGGCTTGTTCTCAAAATAGCTGGATATATGTTTTAAAATATGAAAAAAATACAACTTTATATTTAATAATGTGCTGATTGATCTACTTGTTATTTTGTTTGGACCAAAAGAGGAAAAATAATGACTACAACAGACCTTTAGCATATCTAATTTATCTAATAAATAAGATTTATTAATAGGAACTTCTAGATCCTTTCCTCCCATGATTGAACATATCTGAGCTAGAGACATGGTATG